GTAAAAGGTTCGTATCTTTTTGTCACTAAGGTCGGAAAGAGACGCTGCTTATAATTTCACAAAGTAGTACGCGATTTTCCCGGTGTCCTACAGACTAAACCATGTAAACTGGAGCATTCTCTTCATGAACATCAAAGGAAAAGAATTTCCACAGACTATGTAGTCTTCTTTAATACTTCAATTTTAACAAAATAGTTTTAAATAGATTCTTGAGTARAATAAAACCAATCTTTTCTGCTTTCATATAGAATGGAAAAACAAGTGACACATTTCAAAACTTTAAAAGCATTTTTGAAATAAACTTCTCTACTTTTTAAACCATTTTTCCTTTTCTTTTCGCTCCTTAATTTTTTTCGCTTTTTTTGAAGGCAACACAATTCCGGCTTTCATGTTATTAATTTTTCATTAAATTTTTCTTATTCAATAATCAAATCTATGAGAAAAGAAAAACGTTTTAATCCCAGAAAGTAGCAAAAGACGAAAGCTCTTCATGTTTCCATTGTTTGTCTGTTGTCGTTGGGTTTTTTTCTCGCAGTTCCTCGCGAATTAATATTTTCGAACGACAGTTTCGTCATTTATGAGCTAATGGATTCTAGAGTCGGCAATAACCTAAAAAAATGARGCACTTTTCATGACAATATACATATTTTTATTTCTCGAATCACAATAGCTGAAGCCTCTATGTTTATTCCATCACTATGRCAACACATAATAGGTCCCTTGACMAAGTCCGCATATATTAATATGTTAATCATCAACTTACAGTAGCGACTAAAAGATGGCGAGTTTATCGGCTGCTCTCACTTTTACGATCTTTTTTACGTTTTTAAGCCGTATTTCCCTGGTTGGATCGAAGATCGTGTCTGGAGAGATCAATACGCGAGAGGTAAAGCGTCAATATTTTCCCCGTGCTGTTGTTTCGATACATTGCGTCCAGTTTTGTAAGGCTTTCCGTGAGATACAAAATTCAAACTAACTTTCAATTTTTCTTCTCAAGGATTGGGCTTTTGTCACTCGATTTTGCTTCAAGGACTCAGTCGGACAAATGCAATATTCTTTTGAGTATCCAACGGTAAGAAATAATCTGTTTTTAAAGGCGAGCGAATCTCCTAAGTTAAAGGTTCCGATTCGAAGATCAAACAGATTGTTCTCTATTTGTCGAACAGGATTACGAAGTTCAGAATATTCTACTGTATTTCGATACGCAGTGGCCTAAAGTCTACYCACAACATAGTATGGTAAGTAAAAACAATTTAATTTTGAGATAAAATACTATTTTTTAGACAAGGAAGTAATTTTTCTTTGCCACTGGAAACTTTGACTTTCAAACATAAAAATCCAAATGAAGCTTAGAATTCTTGAAATTACATGAGTTYGAACAAAAATCTTCACTTCAAGAATAGAATTACGTATACATTAGAAATAGAAATTAACACTTTTTATCAAGATTTAGAGGTTTTATGCATTATGATGACGGGTATTTAAAGAGGAAAAGTTTGCATTTGATGTCGAGCAGCTGTTTGATCTTGATGACAGACATACGGTATCTCTCTAATGCTTAATAYTCTACTAGTATTTTATACTTTAAAATATTCAGCTATGTTTTAACAAATTTCGACATCCCAYCTAAGGCTTTAATTCATTTTTCTCTCTTAAATTTAGTTTCTTTTCAGTCATAGTTCCTTWAAGAAACACGACTGCTAAAAATCTTAGGCTTTTTCTGCAAGCATTTCCACATTACAAGGCACTTACTTACCATTCAGTCAGATTTGTTCCTTCAGGTCTTTTGTTTCGACAATTCTTGATTACAGACACTGAAAAAAGTGATTGATTAATTATCTCAAATGTATTTTTAGATTTTAAATGACAAAACTTATATAAAAAACTTATATATATTTTTGATACCATTAATTCTTAAATTGTTTTACCATGTAACTGTGCCTCGTGCAATGTACTTTACTTTGTGTACATTTTTCTATTAATACCTCTTCCCTTCATCCCCCCCCCCAAAAATATTGAAGCTAATTTGCTGTAAATAGGTAATGAATACTGGTGGTGATGATTGAAAYGGTTGATAAGGAAGATTTTTGATTACCAATAATGATGCCAATAAAACTAGCGATAGTGGTAGTGTGATAATGGTAGAGCATTCTTCAMACATATTAGGRTAAGCCACAGTTGAACTCACGGCTAACTACATTTAACTATCTGATGTTTTGGTTATCATTGATTACAACGAACAAACAACAACAACAGTGGCAGTAATGATAAGGGTAGTAGTAATGATGATGCTAGCCTAGTTTTACAGTTGCTTTCACAAAACTTCGGTTGCTTTAATTCCGAAGTTAGTTCCCAAGTTCTCCAAGTTGGTCCCAAACTTGCAAACTTTTTGTGAAATTGGTTCAATCAACSRTGACTTGTTTATGTCTAGAATTCAAATCTTTACTGGAATTAATTGCTTCTTCAAACCATATACTTTCGAAAATTGTATTCCAGACAACATACAGAGTCAAATTCCTTTTGTAACAATAAAATTTACTTTGAAAATTGAATTTGAATGGTAGATTTAATGAGTTTTAAAATAAGCTACTGTATTATCAGTTTGAAAGATCGCYGACAACCGTTGGAACTTCACAGTGAAATTGATTACAAAGTTGTTAACTTGCGAACGAACTTCAGAGACGGAGTAGCTGAAGTTTTATGAAATCAACTGTAATGATAATGGYAATGGTAGTAACGATGGTGATGATGTTGATAAGTGTTTGATGGTGYGTGTAGTGATGGTAAGAAAAATTTAAGAAATATGAAACAGCTTTCTGTCTTAGATACTCTGATCTAAACACACAGGATGCTAATAGAGCATGAGAGAAGCATAGGAAACTGCAACATGTAGCGGATCAGAGCATCTCTTAAATGGAAAATTGTTTTATATTTCCTTTTTAAGAGCTGCATGCTTAAAATTTTGTTTTCAGCTGCCACCAGTCAAGTTTTGATTGATGACAGCCCAAAACTATATATCAGCATGGAGCTTGCAGCTGGCAAGTTTGAATGTTTAAAAAAATATCACGAACAAAAAATACTGTTTTCATTTTCCTATGGAAATTTAAATTCAGAAAGGGGCATGAAAAAAATAACATGACACAGTATTTTAACCAATCAGAGTGTATGAAAGAACTCAGTTATTTAAAAACATGGCAGTAATCCCCTACAGTTATGTGCCATGCATTAATCTTGTTGTCCAGTTTAAGCCCACAAAGCAAATTTAATATTAGGAAAAAAGGAAGTTGATGTGCATACATTTTGTATAAATTCTCCATTAAATCTTCTCTACTTCTGTCACACACGAACAAAACACCACTTGAACAAAAGCCAAACGCATGATTTGTTATGACTATCAGTCTGAAGTAGTTTTATAGAGGACACTTGAACCATGAACAATTTTCTTTCTTTCTGATTATTATTTTCTGAACTTTCCATTTTAAACCGTCTAAAATTAAGCATTGACTTCAAAATATACCGAGAGGTCAAAACAAACCCTATTTCTAATGGATTTATGTTTGAAGGGATGATTTACAGTACACATTAAAAAAAAAAGTGAAAAAACAGAAAACATGAAGTGTTATATAAATTATGTTATATATGTTTTACTTAAGATTTTGGTACTTAAGGATTTCAAGAACATTGAATGAGCATAAATTCATTTCAAATTCGATTATATTTCTTAATTTTATGTTTAATTTTTTCTCAAACATATTAATGTAAATACAGAAATACAGTTTTGTTATTTAACTCAAACATAACTGAAATTTAAAAAAAAAAATTTTAATTGATAAACTGAAAAAATATGGTTTTGCAAACCTCCTGCTGATAAAAATGATTAAAAATTTCACCCTTTGCCTTTTTTCTTAATTACTCAATCCTGGACACAACTAGCTAAAAAAGGCTTTTGGCTCATCTGCCAATCAAAATTATAATGTTTTCAGTTAGTATTATTATAAATGGATTTTTTTTTTAATTATGTGTAGTGATGATTTGAAATGGATTGATCTCATAAGTTTTTTCTAATAGATGGGACTTGATATAGAAGAAGAAAAGGGCATAGGCGAGGGGGCCAATGGCCCCCAACTTCATGGCAACAAAATGGCAGCTTTTCGAAATTTATACCGTAATTTTCATTCTCTTTGCTCAGTTTTACAAAATTAAAATGTGTAATTCCAAAAATTATCCATACCCCCCACAGACGAATTTTTTAAAGACACCCC